TGCTAATAGCTGCTACCTCCATTCCTCTAAATTTGCCACCGTGACCGATGTCGTGTGCGTCTGCACTGTTGTATGCTCATTGCTGCTACCTCTATTCCTATACATTTGCCACCGTGACCGATGTCGTGTGCGTCTGCACTGTTCTGTGCGTGCCTCTGCACTGTTGTGTGCTAATAGCTGCTACCTCCGTTCCTCTAAATTTGCCACCGTGACCGATGTCGTGTGCGTTTGCACTGTTGTATGCTCATTGCTGCTACTTCCATTCCTATAAATTTGCCACCGTGGCCGATGTCGTGTGCGTCTGCGCTGTTGTGTGCGTGCGTCTGCACTGTTGTATGCTAATAGCTGCTAACTCCATTCCTATAAATCTGCCACCGTGACCGCTGTCGTGTGCGTCTGCACTGTTGTACGCTACTAGCTGCTACCTCCATTCCTCTTAATTTGCCACCGTGACCGATGTCGTGTGCATCTGCACTGTTGTATGCTACTAGCTGCTACTTCCATTCCTATAACTCTGCCGCCGTCGGCGATCTCGTGCCTTATCCCCGGGGTCGGCGGCAGGGGGGCGGAGCCCTTACAATTAAGAAGAAGCAGCCCCGCTGAGGGCTGCAGGTGCGCTGCAGGTTGCTTTAAGGTGTTTTCCTTGTTTGAATCCATGTGAGCTCCTGTGAGAATTAGACCCCTAAAACTTGCCACAAGAGCCCAAACGACCAGACTTTTTCGAATGCATCTTCACAATTCCTCTGCGCAAGGGCAGCTGTACATCGAGAAACTGGCCCCTTTTGAGGCATCGCCGTTTGTTGCGCTCCTGTTGAGCGCTGTTGACGACTGTGACCCTGAAAGGTTGTGTCCCACTAGGAATCTTTAACAATTCTTTAACCCTGCTCTGTGTTTTAGACACACGGCGTTTCACCTTTCATATCCGGCATGCATCACCTCCTAGATCTCAAAGTGGCTGGGTCATGTGGCAGCTCCCGGTGATTTCGGTATGCTCCAGGCCTTGCTTGTCTACAAAGTGGTAGGTTCTTTGTCTCACAATTCTGTGACACGTTCAATGGAGAAAGTCTACCCGTACAGCCAGGTTCCCGGAATTTATGGCACAAGGCCTTGTCGCACCTTTGCTTCAATCTAAGATGAATCTATCCAGTATCTGAATCTATGCAGTGCCCACCGGAAGGAAGATTGTGGGTTTCAACAAACATGCTGCGAACAAACAAAAAGAAAGGCCGTGAGAAGTGCTGCGGGAAAATTGAAGAAAACCTGAAAACCATTGAAAACCACTCTTTGCGAACGGAGAGGCCCCGGCGTGACCGCCTCGAACTCTGCCGGTAGCCGGGCCCTTTGCCGGGCTGTACCAAAGCTGAAGCCGGACCGGGCCTTGAAGACGGTGACCTCATACCTCGAAAGAGAATAGACCGAGGTGAATAAGTCCCAAAACATACATTTCCTTGTGCAAAAAAAAAAAATTGAAATTCTGAGATACTCTCCAGGCCCTGGAATCGAAAGATGTGGCAAGGCGTCCCCTTTGCGTCGAATGGTGATTTTCCCCCGTCCAAAGGGCTCTGGAAGGTTGTAAGCACCTGGCCCCGGAGCTTTGCCTCGGGCTTGAGGCGCTTCCCTCCTGCGCCATCTCAAAGCAACATGGCTTAGGTGGCTTAGGAATGACTCCACACCTACGAGGAGCAAAGGGCATCGCTACTAGGAGCAAAGGGCATCGCTACTAGGCGCAAGGACGCTACTAGGGGCTCCTGGCATCGCTACTAGGCGCAAGGACGCTAGTAGGTTGGAGGCCATCGCTCTTGGGTTTTTGAGGCCGCTCCTGGGAGTGCAAGAGATCTTGGCGTCTCCTAAAGTGCCTGGCTCTTCATAGGTGCCTGGGCCTGGAGCCTGGTTGACCACGCGGGTCTTCCGGGTGCCGGTGCCAAAGCCAAAGCTCGGCTGAGTTTGATGTTTGGAGCTGAAGTCCCGGTCGTGCATGTAACTCCCAGGGCCAGGCATCTTGAACTTCTCCTTGCCTCTGGAGCTTGGAACGTGAAACTCGAAAATTGTTAAAACGCTACTAGGGGCTCCTGGCCTTACTACTAGGAGCAAGGACGCGTTGGAGGCCATCGTTTAGTAGAAACAACGAAAAAAGAAAAGAATGGTCACATATTTGTACCTGTTGTCCTGTGATATCCTATGTTCGTCTGTTTTCTTTGTCTCTATCTCTCTACCGGTCCTTGTGGCATCTTCGATGCAAAGCTGAACTTCGGCGGTGCTGTCACCGTGGACAAGGCCTGAAAGCCACTTTTGTCCGGAAGACTTGGCGAAGGCGTCTTCCGGGAGGGCTCCGGTGTGCTCGAGGGCCGACCTGTTGGTCCAGCTTCCGAGGGAGGACCTTCCTTGACATCTCCCTCCACGGCATTCAGCATGGCGCAAAGCCTAAAACCTCTACCGCGTCGTTTCGAAACCTCAAAGCCACAAATTGACACACTTTGACAAAAACGTTTGATGTCCGCTTTGTCTATGTGTCTCCAATTTGAGTCGACAACTGGACCCGAGCATGTTAGGCTCTTCACCAACCCTGAATCCCATGGAGCCAAAAAATGCAGCGCTAAACTCATTGCACTCTGAGAATGACTCTGATTCCAGAAACTGTTCCTTTCCATGTTCTTTCTTTGGGTTCCACAAGCGCTCTTGGCGGGAAGTCAGTCAAGGCTCGATTGGTGCCAGCCATACGAGCCGATTCGGGCCCCACCAAAGAAATAGCTGCCTAGGAGTCGGACACGTAGCAAGAGAAGGCGCATGAGTGATGAAGAGACGGTGTTCAATGACTAGTGACTAGTTTAAGGTGTTCCTGAGGAAAGGCGGAAGTGAAGGCGGGTTTTGGCTCTCTCCATGGCCGGGGCACCGTTCATGCGCTCCCCATGGTGGTAACCGCTCCACGGTCCACGGGCCATGGCCGCGGGTGCATTCAGCTCAAAAAGGCTGTCGACATTGCTGCACACCTCCAGGGTCTCCAGACAACTGTATAACTAAGCACGCTACTAGGGGCTCCTGGCATCGCTACTAGGAGCAAGGACGCTAC